GTGACAACAGCTTTATAGAAATAAAATGAAGGTCATTAAAAAATCCTCTTGGAAAACATCACTAGGAATTACCTACACAGCTGCTCACAAACTCATTACTCTTTAAGAGCGCAGCGTTACCTCTGCTTTTAATGGGTTTTGCCATTAAAAATACAGCATCTATAAGTTAAGAAGCACAAAGAAAAAAAAAGTCCCTTAAATTAGGCTTAATGCGATTTTATGATTTCCCAGCCACTGCGTTAGCAGAGATGCTACCAAAGCTCAGCGGAGAGCACGCCAGCGACACGGCCCATCTCCTGCCCCGGAGCGGAAGGTGGGAAGCATGGTTTGGGGATACACATTCTGTTCTCCCGACCCCCGGGAAAAAAGAAAAAAGACAAAAGGAGGAAGAGGAGGAAGAGGAGGAAGAGGAGCCACCCATATGACAGCACAGGGGCCGACTCTTCCAGGCAGGGGAGGACGGACTGATCGCAGGGACCAGGCAATGACCCCCCCAGACGCCTCCTGACATCAAGGAACAAGGTGGTATTTGCGTGTCTGAATCGGGTATTCCCACCAAGATATCAACTTCCCATCTGTTGAGGTGCTTTCTGGAAGAAGCTCACAAAACTACTAGAAAGAAAAGAGTCCATTTCTCCAGCTCGTTTTGAAATTGTGGCAAAATATTTTTCGAGATCCGGTTTAGATGCAAAGTGGAAGTGGGGGGAGAGCGAGGAATCTCTTTTAAACGGCTGAGGGGTCAAGTAGATGCCAACAGCTGTTTCTCTTACATGATCAAAATTTTGGTGATAGAGTCCAAAAAATGTGCGTCTTGTCGCGTGAATTAAACATTCCGGATCAATGCATGACACGGCTGAGCTAGCTGGGTAACTGGAGTCCCAGAGATCACACTTCCGTGTGCAGGGACACGCAGGGACACAGCGAGGTCCCGGGGGCCCCGTGGAGCCCGGGGCACTGCATGGGGCGTGCTGATCCACTTTGCACTTTGTCCCCAAGCCAGTTTTATATTGGGGAAATCAGCCGAAGGTGAAACAGCCCTGCCAGGGCAGAGAAGGTCCGTGGGAAGGTGGAGATGTCGCCTCCCCATTCCCAGTCCCAGCTGACGGGAAGGTTTGGGAAGAGGCAGCGTCCAGGCAGGGGGTAGAACACACAGACGAGCCCTGGGCGGTTTTGGTTCTGGCTCTGTCCTGAGCATCACATTTGGTATGTAACCATTAGAAGCACCTGCAACCTCCCAAAGTCATACATCAGCGCCCCTTCCAAACGTCCTTACAACAGTAAGCCTTTGAAAAAGAAAGAGCGAGGCC